TGCAGTCCTCGGTAGAGTTCCTCGAAAATATCTCTAAATGGTATGATAATTTATTTCCCACAAGCACGCATTTATTCTTTAAAAATAATTTCAAAGTCTTATTCAGAGTTCAACCAATGTTTTCTGAGCCCTTAATCTTTTTAAAACTTTCTGTAGCCAAAACCTTGTCTTGCTTTTTGCTGTTTATTTTAAATTCTTAAAAGTTTTAAAAAATAAACCTTAATTTTCTTGTATTAAGGTTTGAAGGTACTCACTCACTGGGTGTTTTTAGCCTTGTCCCTTTGAAGGTGCCTAACTTCATTAAAGCTGTTAATAAGCAATTTCCTAAGGTAGTTAGCAAGGGAAGTGCCCAAACTTAGTGTCCTTTGAAAGGCTCCATTTGCAGCTAGAGCATACAGTGGTACCTCGGGTTACGAACGCCTCTGTTAACGAACTTTTCGGGTTATGACCAGCTCTGGCTGCAAAAATTTACCTCGGTTTGCGAACTCCGCCTCAGGGTATGAACAGGATACGCGGCCATTTTCCCTCCCATGACACGGTCCGCGGCCATTTTTCTGCCCCTGACACGTGGTCCGCGGCCATTTTTCCGCCCCTGACACGTGGTCCGCGGCCATTTTTCCTCCCATGACACGGTCCGCGGCCATTTTTCCTCCCATGACACGGTCCGCGGCCATTTTTCCTCCCATGACACGGTCCGCGGCCATTTTTCCTCCCATGACACGGTCCGCGGCCATTTTTCCTCCCATGACACGGTCCGCGGCCATTTTTCCTCCCATGACACGGTCCGCGGCCATTTTTCCTCCCATGACACGGTCCGCGGCCATTTTTCCTCCCATGACACGGTCCGCGGCCATTTTTCCTCCCATGACACGGTCCGCGGCCATTTTTCCTCCCATGACACGGTCCGCGGCCATTTTTCCTCCCATGACACGGTCCGCGGCCATTTTTCCTCCCATGACACGGTCCGCGGCCATTTTTCCTCCCATGACACGGTCCGCGGCCATTTTTCCTCCCATGACACGGTCCGCGGCCATTTTTCCTCCCCTGACACGTGGTCGTAGGGAGGGGGACTCTCCCTCCAAGCAATAGCCGCCTCCCTGTCCTCCACGCCAGAACGGATTAACGGTAATTACATTGAACCTTATGGGGAAATTTCCTTCGGGTTGCGACCAATTCGGGGTGCGACCAGAGTCACGGAACGAATTAAGTTCGTAAACTGAGGTTCCACTGTATATAGAAATTCCCCATCTCCAGGTCCCCCCCCCACTAGAGATCACTGTCTTGCAATCTCTTCATGAGGAAAAGGAACAACCATATGAAGAAACAGCTTGGGCAATCTTGCATCTTTCTCTTTTATACAGAGAGGATCAAAGGAGCCAATCTACTAACTGGCTCCTTAAGAAAGTCCACAAACATCAGCTCCACTTTTTCACAGAGCCATCTTCAGTTGGCTATCTTTCCTGGAATTCAATCTATTATTTTTTCTAATCATCAAAACCATTATCAAAAGTTCATTTTTTTTCTGTTTCACACAAAAAGTCAATAAAGAGTTTCCAGTCAGCATTAAACTTAGTTACAGACAGTCCCTTACTTACGAACTTTTGAGTTGCTAACTTTCACCGATACGAACAAGGGACTTGGAAGTTGGGAGGAGGAAAAGGGTTAGTTTCCAGCATGCCGCAAACTAACCCTTTCCTACCTTCTCCCACCTTCTGGGAGGCTGGCATTTGCATTGGAGTTTACAGTAAGCTTTGGGAGGCTACCATCTTCAGCCTTCCTCCTGCAAGGACTATCTCTATTTCCAAATGTGTCTAAGAAACAAGGGTTGGCTGATCTTAATGTCTTTATAGGCTACACTGCAGCTGTGAACATAGATGGAATCCCGCGTCTCCCAGCTGCTTAACACGCAAGCAAACTGCAAAAACTTCTGTTTCTGCAGTTTACTTAGGGGGAGCAGCTATCCTGAGATCGCATGGGTTATTTCACAATCTTTCCTTCATCCAGAGAGATTTTGGTATGCAGCATTGGCCCTCTGGATGCCAATCTCCGCTGCAGTGCCATCTCTGCTTCTCCAAAGACTAGACCGCCATTAATTCCCACCAGAAGTTGTGGTGCATCTTCTTTTAATTGTCTACTAGCTTCCTTTCCTATCTCATCTGGAAACACTGCCAACATAACCCCCTCTCCAATTAGAGCCTGGATACTATTTACTACAACATTTAAACTTGACAGAGTTGTAGCAATAACATCTAACTTATGAAAAATGCTCTCCTTGACCAATCAGAATGCACTGGTTTCTCGAATAGGTCAAGATAGAAGAAATATCACAAGTTAGACTGGGGATTTTATCTTCAATTACTTCCATTATCTAGACTGGTTATAACTAAAGCATTCATCGCCTGGTTCAATCAAGCCTGCAGCTAGGTCTGGACACCTATTAACAGCTCAACAATACTGCTTCTAACAAGGCGTTGATGGAGGCCCTTCTGTGAGCTTTCCTCCACTGATTGTTACTTTTGTTTAATAGATCTAAGTCAGTTACAGAGTTCTGATAATTTGTGTGGTGCACTTTCTGTTCCCAACTCCTGAGTTTAATTTGGAAAAAAATCCAAAATGGAGCTTTCAGCCAATGGGGAGTAAGTGGCCATGCTCTTGGTGTACTGTCTAGTTCTAATGGTTACCATACTAACAGTAGGTATAAGCCACCAGTTTCTGAACTCACCAATGCAATGTTTTTATTCTACCTAACATACAGGTTTAATAGAATTTGCTTTCCACTTCTGTGAACAACCATGCCCACTTCCCCCACCCCTCAGATATTAATGAACAATTTTGAGTTAGACACCCAGTGCTGGTAGAAGTCCTTACTTCTGACCATCTATTAGTCCATCCTCCATATTAAATGCCTTCTCCTCTTCTCATTGAGTGTCCTACTAAATACTTCACTTCTCTCCACAGCTGAGAGCATCCATACAAACACTCCTGTAATATACTTATCTCCTCTTGCACTCATAATTGTGATATATCTTGCTTGCCTATTAGAATGGCAGAAGACCAAAAGCCAAAATTAAACAGCCTAAAATGAAGTCAGAGTAAAACTATGAAGAATGTCAAATGTTATTGCTATTACTGTCTCAGCAGGAGTCAGTTTATCTATTTAAAATTTTCCATTCTTTTAATTTCTTTTGCTTAAGTCTCTGCTGTTGAATTCCACTTGCATTATTTGACTTAGTGATACTGTAAAGATAAGCTTTGCAGGGATGCTGGATGAGTCTGTGATCTCCATGGAGATAATAGAAGAGTAAAATAAAACTTCCTCAAATAAAAAGAGCAATGAGACAAACCCAGGTTAAACATGATTTATCATGTTAAAATTAGAAAAGTAAAAGAATGGCTATATTACCCAGCCTCCCTTGCTGCCATTTTACCCGAAGTCCCTACTTCATCTTGGAATTTGCCTTGAGAGACTTTTTTCCTCTTTAAGGATGGGCTAATTTTTTTTGAATAAATAATAAAAAAGAATGAAGAGGAACTGATCCTACAAATGCACTTTTTCTATGCGGTATCACAATCTTATCGATGGTTTCTTTATGTGCTAATTGTAAAAATGTGGATACTTTGCGGCCAATGACAATTTCCTTGCAGCATCGTCTCCTGAGCCGCCACTTCACGTTCTTCGGAAGGCAAAAAACTCGCTCCCTAAGGCAGCCTCCCATGTAACTGCTTGTCAGGCAGGTGAGGAAGTCAGCTCTCCACCTGATTTCCAACGACCTTCCGCACGATCGTCTGGCCCGGCCCGGCTCGGCTCTCCTGGGAGTCTCGTCAAGACCGCCCTCCCTCCTGGGCTTTGACAGGCCGCTTACGGGCCTCGTTCCCTCTGCTTGGGCCGCGCAGCCCGCTGGGCATCCGGCAGAGGGCGGGCTTCCCCGGCGCCGGCGCCCTGCTTTCCCTCCGTTTCCTCAGCAGGTCTGGCCTCTCGCCTCCGGCGCTGCTTCCGCGACCGAGCGGCGTCCGTCGTGGCGGGGGAGCTGAGTGTCAGGGACCGAAGGAGCAAGCGGGCCGGCGTCAGGATGCCGCTGGGCCTGAAACCGACGTGCAGCGTCT